CTTGGCATGGGTTCCCACTGTATGCCTATCCCCCCCACCGTTGCCCCTGAAGACAAATGACGATCGAGGACCCTTGGCTGGGTGGCTCTCCGCAGCGCTCCCCGCTGTGGGGCCCTCCGCGACTGTGCAAGCTGCCTCGGCGCTCCAGACAACTTCGCCTGCTCGCCCTGTCTTCCGCTAGGAAGCCTGAAAACTAGCACCAACATGAAGGGCAACGATAGGGGGGACTGGCATAGGGTGGGATGCATCGACCTGGAATCGGCGATACATCGCCGATAGATCGGCGATAAGCCTCCGATCGTGAATCCGCACTTTCATGGGCAGGTTGGGGCTATCGGGTCCCTGTAGGCGATCAATAAGCGATTTGGGGTCGATGCATCCCCCCCTATGACTATCCCCCCCTATCGTTGCCCCTGACAACACCAACACAGAGGGTGGACTCTACCAGGGGAAGATGACCCTGGATGTTGGTGCTCGTGCTAATCTCTCGGCCACCGAAGAAGCCCGAATCGTACCACCATCACCGAGAGCCTTGTTGGAAGCAACCGCCGATACTTCTGCTGGTGCCAAACCTCCAAGCCTCCAGTCCCCTCCATCTACACATCCATTCCACGGGCCGTGTTGGAAGTCCATCCCGCCCTCCTCGTCACCTGAGGGGCAACGGTAGGGAGGACTGGCATATGGGGGGGGGAACATCGACCAGAATCGGCGATAGATGCCGATAGATGATCGATCGGCGATGGGCCCCCGATAGCAAATCGGCACGATCGGCGATCAGTGGGCGACTGGGGGTCGATGCATCCAACCCATGTCTATCCCCCCCTGTCTGACTACCTACCAGACCACCCCAACCCAACCCGAAGACCCAAATTTCGGGTTGGGGGGGGTATGGGTTCCATACGTGTTTTTTCGATGTTCCCCGACCCCCCCCACTGGAAATGGAGGGCAAATGGAGGCCTTCGGGTTGGGTTGGGGTGGTTTGGTAAGTGGTGACCCCCTGTCGTTGCCCCTGGCCTGGTCCCCGCCCCCCCCCTCAGGCTGCCTTCTGGCGTTGCCGTTGGCGCTACCCTCCTCGCGGGCCCGCGGGGGCAGAGGAGGCCAGCAGGGCCGGACGGCCCGAGCGGGGGAGGCCAGCGGCACGCACCGGCAGGACAACCGACGGCGGCTCAAACGAATCCGATGCCAACCGCTACCGTTCCGCGGGAAACATCAGGGAGGAGTGGGATGAGGAGGAGGGGGAGGAGGAGGAGGAGGAGGAGGAGGAGGAGGAGGAGGAGGAGGAGAACCTCGCCACCTTTGGGGTGGCGAGGTTCGTATACATCAGGGGAACAAGCAACGACATAAACATAACAACTCGGAGGTCCTCGCGGACCTCCGAGTTTTTATGTTTATGTCGTTGTCTGTTCGTTCCCCTATATATATATATATATATATATACACACGTCGACTGATCCTGGCCAGGCACCGCCTGGGCCCAGGAGCGGTGCATGCGCCATCCTGCCTCGGCCAGGTAATTTTTTTGCACTGCTCCTGGGCCCAGGATGGGCCTGGCCAGCGGCGGCGGATGTGTGCAGATCTCGGCGCCCCACCCTGGCACGTCCAAGCGTGGCAAGGCGCGGCAGAGCGCCAAGTTCTGCCTGGCAGGGTTTCTGTACCTGTACAGTGGGGGTCCATGTCAAGAAACACCCTGCTTGCCTCCAGGGTGCCCTGGGTTTCTTGGGTTTCGATGGTTTTGCCATGCAAAGCGTGACGTTCCCACACCAAAGATCCATGGACGTCCTTCTCAGGGCTGGATTTCTTGTGGAAGGTTTCTTGTGGTCGGGCCCCCACTGTAAGTCTTCTGACCCCCCCTTCTCGCCACGTCCACGTACATGCATCGCCCCTCCTTCCCGAGGCATCCTGGGCGGCCCGACGCCTCCCTGGCACTCTGCAAGGATTTCTACAAGGCCACGAACGCCGCCAAAACTGCCGCAAGCAGCTGGACAGACAACTCAAACTCTGAAGACACAAATGCTACGCCGGGCTGGTGAGGAGGTCGAAGTGAGGAGGCCCGCGCTCAGCTTGTGCTTGGCTGCAAGACCCTTACCGACATTACTGAGAAGCCGCCTCCTATGTGTTTATAGATGGGGGAGTCGCACGTCGGGTACCTGCCCCGTCGTGAGTGGGGTTTAACTTGGCCATCAAGGCGATTCTGCCAGCCGGAAGAATACTCTTCGACAGGCCAATATCGTAGTTGGCCAGCATGGAAAAGGGACGCGCTTTGCCCTGGCTGCTGCTGGTTTTGACGACACTGCTGCTAGGTCCCAGGTCAACTGTAGTGGCTCTGGTGGTTTCTTGGGTCGTCGTGGAGCGTCTTGGGGGTGCCTTATCGCCCTTTGGAATTACTTCACTCTATTGGTAGCATGCTGGCATTTTGCTGCTGTTTAGTGTATTCGCATCCTACCACGCTTCTACTACTTCACTACACCTCCACTACCACAGCGGCAACTGCGGCTGCTACAGCTTATGCTGCTACTCTCACTACTACCACTACCACGACTACTAGAATCACACCTGCGACTGGTATCTACAGCTGCCTCCACTACGATTATGCAGACACGCCAGTATGAACTGCAACTGCAGGTATTACTGCTAGAAGAACTAATACTCGCGCTCGTCTATTGCTGTACCAGGATGAGGGGGACACCGTCGGACTAGGTCACCTAACTGACTACCTACCAAACCACCCCAACCCAACCCGAAGACCCGAATTTGACCCGAATTTCGGGTTGGGGGGGGTAAGGGTTCCACGCGTGTTTTTTCGATGTTCCCCGACCCCCCCCCCACTGGAAATCGAGGATAAATCTGAGCCTTCGGGTTGGGTTGGGGTGGTTTGGTGGGTGGTCACCTAACTTCGCGCACCGTGCCCCGCGATGCGCGATTACCTTCGCGCCTTCGCGCCGCCGCTCTGAAGAAGGGCGCCTCTCCAGCCCGGGCCGCGACACGCGATGCGCGATTAGATTCGCGCCCCCGGGCGTGACCTACACCCTGCGAAATGCTTAAGAAATCATGGGTTAAGAAATTCGTAGTCTCAGAAATTGAATAAAACCCAGAACTTATATAAAAATCTTGGGATTTACATTGAAAAAATAAGAATAATCGAGACTCTGGACGAAAACTTAGGTTTTCTTAAGCATCGCCTAAGGTGCACATCGCCGTGACGAAAGTTTCTTTCAATCTGCCTTTTGGAATGACGAGCTTCGTCACAGCAAGCTGAAGAAACTTTTGTCACGGCTGTGTAGCTCTGGGCGCCACGAGACCACCGCTGCGAGCGCAGCTTCGCAGCCCGGGCCTCCGGGGGCCGTCCTCGGGCCCGCCGTCAGGCAGCGACCCTCGACGGACCACCTGCTCCAAGAGGAGGGGGCGCAAGCCGCCTCCGAGGGGCCCAGGCAACGGCCCTCGACGGACTACCTGCTCCGAGAGGAGGGGGCGCAAGCCACCCCCGAAGGGCCCGGGCGGTGGAAAAGGAAATGCACGATCTGGTGGAGGCCTCGTCACGGGGAGACCGTCGGGGCAACGTTGGGAGATCATCGGGGCACCTCTTGGCGGCACGCACAGCGGGGTAGGTGGATGGGGGGTGGTTTCTGCGAAGGAGGCTGCTTCTTAGAAGGCGCGGGCCTTATCTATAGTCTAGAGGTAGAAGGCCGGCGCCTTCTAAGAAGCAGCCTCCTTCTAAGAAGCCCCCCCTCCCCCATACCCCCTTGTGCGCACCGCCAGTATGTATGTGTCTCCTCCTCCCCGTCCTTGGCCCTCCCCGACGCCCTTCTCCCTCCATCCTTCGGGCGTTACGCAATGGGGGGGCGATAATGGGGTGAGAAGAAAAGGTGCACTTATCGTGTGTCTTACTCCGAGTTTCTCAATACGCGTCGGGGGGGCGTCACCCCGCCGACAGCCCCGCATCGACCCCGGTCGCGGGCAGCCACCGCGCGCCGAAGGCGCTCCGACCCCCGTCGCAGCGCGACGACGAGACGAGGTTGACCCCCGTCGGGGGGTAGCCCCCACGCCTAGTAAGAAACCCACAGTATGGACCCAATCTTTCCTCTCGTCCTCCTGCTTCTGTTTGCTCCCCTCCCCCGACCCACCTCATGCGCGTAGCCGAACCATGACGCAAGCACTACCTGCGTGCACCGCGCTCGTCCTGCTCATGTAGCAAGTGTCCCATGCCTCCGTGCACGGACAAACATCATGCCAACCACGACGCACATTACACATCTGTCGCCATGTACGTTCGTTGCGATACTGTGCACGACAAGCGCGATTGGAGTATGCTGTTTCAGGGGCTCTGGTGAGCGGGATGACTGAAGAGGAGGGGAGGAGGAAGGAGGGGAGGTGAATGAGTAGGAAGAGGAGAAAAGAGAAAAGGAGGACGAGGAGGATCGGGACTAAGTCACTGGAACCCCTGAGATGGCATAGTAGAGCGATGCGCACGCGGCGCATGTGGTACACGTCTCCCCTGTGCGAGAGGGCCTCGATTACCTGGTCGCCGCGCGTCGGCTCGGCTGGACAGAGGGCTGTCACCCCAGGAGCATCTGTCCTCCTTTTGACCGTACGCTTGCCTTGAAGGATGTGGGCACATGTGGGCCAACTGCTGGACGATGCATCTCTCTCGCAAGCCGCCACAGTCTCAACTGCTTCTCTGGTGGTCGCCCTCTCCTTAAACATGGCTTAGGTAACCTGTATACCTATAGCGTGATTGCTAATCCCCTTCTTCTTTTTCCTCCTCCTCCTCCTTTTGCTCCTCCTCTCATTTCACTTCGCAAGGCCCCAAGGGCCCTCGAAGGCCAGCTAACTAGATCTACCCACGGGTCTGCTTTCGCTGCCAACGGCCAGCTTGAAAACAACGTGCGCTGCTCTAGCGCCAACGCCTCCTCCCCCACCACCTCCCATGCAGTGAGATTTTCCCAGATGGCGCTGCTTGCTACGCGTCGCATGACTTGGTCATCGTCTACGCTACCCCCGTCCTCCTCGAAGCGTGGCGGGGCAAGCCCTCCTGATTCGGATAGCCGCCATCGCCATCCCCGCGCCACTCGGAGTCGCCTCGTCCTGGGCGCACGCAAGGAGGGGGGGAAAGAACGAAGACCGCCAGAGTCTTGCGCGCTCCGCTGGGGAGCCCGTACCCATCAGGGCATGGCGTAAAGAGATGGAGGAGGGGGATGGAGGAGGTAGGGAGGATGGAGGACGGAGGGAGGATGGAGGAAGGAGAATGGAGCACAGAGGGAGGATGGAGGGCTGAGGGCGGATGGAGGAGGACAAAGGGAGGAGGGAGAGGACAAGTTGGGGGAGCCCAGGCCCGGAGTAGAAAAAGAGTAAGTATCGAGCGGGAGCGTTGTTGTTGCTGCTGCTGCTGCTGTTGTAGTTGGTATTATTGTTGTTGATGCTGCTGTTGTCGTCGTCGTCGTCGTTGTTGCTGCTGTTGTGGTGCTGTTGTGGTTGTGGTTGTGGCTGTGGTTGTGGTTGTGGTTGTGGTTGTTGTTGTGATTGTTGTGGTCGTTGTCGTTGTCGTTGTCGTTGTTGTTGTTGTTGAACTCTCATTCTTGAAGAATAAGTATTGTTGATCCCCCCCACCGGTGCACATTGTTATTTCAATTGAAGTGCCCCCCCGGGGCTCGCACTTTGCTTTTCTGTCTAGGAAAATCTTCCTGCTCAAACTGGCCTCCTGGCCCCCGGGTTACAACAACAACGGCTCCCGCCTGAAACTTCCTCACAATTTAGCCAGGACCCCCGCTCCCGCCCGACACTTCCTCGCATTTTATTCAAGAATCGCGCTCTCGCTTGGGACTTCTTAACGAATAGCTCCTCCTGCGCTCTGGAGCCACGCTCTCGCTGGATACTCGCTTGCATTTTACTGAAGGATAGCGCCCTTGCGTTGGAACTTCTTGCAATTTACTCCAGCGCCGCGCTCCCGACACCCAGGCACCCAGGAGTCGCGCTCACGCTTAGGACTCCTTCACAAATTACCTAGGAATCGGGATCTCGCTGCCCTTCGTGGCCCCGTTGCAGCCCTTCGTGGCCCCCTCGCTTTGTTTCGTGGCCCCGTTACAGCCCTTCGTGGCCCCCTCGCTTTGTTTCGTGGCCACGTTGCAGCCCCTCGTGGCCTCCTCGCTGCCCTTCGTGGCCCCGTTGCAGCCCTTCGTGGCCCCCTCGCTTTGTTTCGTGGCCCCGTTGCAGCCCTTCGTGGCCCCCTCGCTGCCCTTCGTGGCCCCGTTGCATCCCTTCGTGGCCCCGTTGCAGCCCTTCGTGGCCCCCTCGCTTTGTTTCGTGTCCCCGTTGCTGCCCTCAGTGGCCCCCTCGCTTTGTTTCGTGGCCCCATATATGTATGCCCTTCGTGGCCCCCGCTCGTTCGCACCCGTGGTGGCCTCATATGCATGCCCTTCGTGGCCCCGCTGTCGCCCTTCGTGGCCTCCTCGCTGCCCTTCGTGTCCCCGT